ATTGAAATTACATTGACATTGAGATTGGTATCAAGAGTAAGCACCCAGAACGCTTAACTCGCTCGATACTGTTACGATACGAATGCGATAGTTATTCGTGCTTGGTACTCACGAGTGCCGAACGCGTACTCGTTTCGATTACTTCAAACGTAAAACAAACTAGTACTAACGCCTCAGCTACGCGTAGATGACTTTGCTTTTTTGCTGTAAAAAAAAATATGAAAACTAATTTATTTTTAATAATGATAGATAGTGGTAGGGTGAACTCCGACTAGTATAAGCGAATATAACCCTACTGCTTTAAGTAATAATATCCGCTTTTCCGCGGCAATAAATACAATTAAGTCGGACTGATTGTGCCAGGGTAATGTGTACCTTAAAGCGAAGATAAACTGCGTACATTTGAGCAAAATCCAATAAACTGATAACATTTTTGTACGGTCTAAGAAATGTTAATGTAAGGTTTTGAGAGAGATTGTAAATGAAAGCATATCGTGGAAGCTAAACATTATTTGAGAGGTTTTTCTTATAGGTATTGATGATGGAAGCATTCAACAATGGAATTTTATGGGATCAAATAACGGTACCAATTTTCTTCTTCATTGTTCATCGAAGGACCTAACTAATGGTCACTGAAATGTAGACTCTATACACCAGTGAGAAGTCTTAAAATTGATTAAATTATTTATTTTGATTGGTGCTGGTCACCGATTATATTTCATAGAGTCCTCAGTCTCATTATTATGAAATTCTTCTGTCGCTAGATCTGGAAGTCCCGACTTTAAAGTCCGAACTTTATTGCAAAAGCATATGATTTAAAATTGATTGAAAGCATCCAATCTTTCTAGATACCCAATCAGTACAATGTCAAAAATAATAAAGGCAGTTTGAGGTATCTTCATCGCTGGCTTACACTAATTAAAAAAAATATATATGTAAGTGATTCTGTCAAAATGTGATTAAAAAGTTAATCAATGGTTGTGTTCAATTTGCACAGATGCACGCAGTTAGGCATTCTTAGTAGTCTTATAGACTTGTCTGGTCATTCGTTTTGACTGTTATTGACTCAGTTTAGGCAACCACATACTTTAAAATGCATTTAAATATTTATGCCACATTTATAAGGTCGAAATTGGAGTGACAATGCAAAAAATTAATGACATATAATTAAATTTTTGCATTGTTACATTATTTCATAAAATGATATCTCCATTTATAACTACTCTGTGTTCAATATGGAGATCACAGAAAGTCTTAAATGGATGTGGCATTATAAAAATAAAATTTTACTAAAAATATTTGTGTGATCATCTAAACTCGAGTCAAAATGGCTATCGAACATACAGTGGGCAGCAGACTAGCCTGTCTGTCAAATATCTCTATTACATCATCAACTTTATTTTATGGACATAAAGTAGAAAATCCAATGAATAAATTTGACAGATCGGAGTCTGTTGATCTGCTGGCCACTATACATTGTGACACATGTTCTTTCCCTGCCTTGTTACGAATGTACCCAGATGTCTAGTACAGCGTATGTAAGTTAATTAAATAATACTTACTCGTGTAACTATATGACGAGGTGACTCTACTAGTTTCGAGCCACGACTGGGACCCATAACCATTAGTATCTCGAAACTAATCGAGCAAGCCTCGTAAAATAGTGATTTAGTAAGCTATAATACCTAATATCTCACGATAGTTAATATTATACAAAAATACATTGTATTTGTAGCTAGCTAGTGGCTTTTTACACAATGACACAGTCATCGCTTCTCCACTGTCGTGTGTCACAATAAAATATTTAGATGATTTTGTTGTATTATTGCACCTTTTGGAAACCCCTAACGAAAATCTATCTTCTATATAAATAAAAATGGATTTCCGTTCGTTAGTCCCGCTAAAACTCGAGAACGCGAACGGCTGAACTGATTTGGGTAATTTTGGTCTTGAAATGATCGTCGAAACCCAGGGAAGGGAAAGGAAGAAAAAAACTTTTTGGTACGAAGTATGCTGAGTTAGCTAGTACAATAATATTTTAACATAACTTATGCCTTTGTCTCATAGTGGTAAGCAGATATGACGTAACAACTGGCTCCTTATGATCCTTATTATATTATTATGTCTGTCAGATGCCATACTGTTGGTCATCACAATAACTTCTTCAAGAGTATCAGATTCAAAAACAACAAAATGTTGAGTGTATATTTGTAACATGTCGCTGATTAGATTCTCTCTATTTGATGTTATATTAAAGAGAGTTTGTTCGTTTGTTTTTGCACGGGCTAATCACCAGAACTACTGGACTGGGTCTGATTAGATTTTTTTTGTGTTGGGTAATGCACTTATCGAAAAAGGCTAAAAAACATCACGCTTTATTTTGCCATTTAGCAGTGTGTGTGAAATCGCTAATAATAATTGAATCGGGAGTAACTAGTAATCAATAAAAAGAAAAAGTAATATGGCCATATATGTATTTATTGTAATAAAATATATTACTCTGTCTTCACACCATGTTAAGGTTAAATAGTATTACCAGCAACAAATAAAAACAAAATTCATTCCTGCCACCGGGGAACAAGTTAATTAAAATACAGAAACAATAAAAAGAAATAAACCCAATTTCTATTAGTATTGTTGAACGATTCATAGTTATCATTATTTTATAGTTATATTTTATTGTACAGAGGGGCAGAAAATTGCCCAAACCAGAGAAAGATTAGGTAAAACTGAACCTGGACTCTATTATTTTAATAATTATATTAGAATAACATTATTATATTTAGACAGGCTGTAAAGTGATGGTTTTTGCCTAATAAAGTAATGTCTCTATGGAGCAACATTATGCTAATGTAGTTGTGACTGATTTTTAAAAGTATGATGCGACATTATGGGCACTTAACCTGTGTATTTTTAACATGCAAAATTCAGAAATCTGTTGACAATATTCCCCATCCTTTCTTTTTATAATCATGACAATCTTTATACAGTTTGTTCTAAATCTAATTTTTGTAAAATTTATTTAAGATAGTTGGGTTTTAACATATTGAAAATATTCCTCCTTTATTTTAGGTCTGTCTTCAACTTCCGGCATGTATGGATATAATCCCTTAGCTTTCCTATCCTTGTATACCTTGCCCTGAAAAAAAAATAAGAAACAAGGATTTTATAACATACAAACTTTTTAGTTAAATATTCAGCCTCTGCAAAAATTATAAATAATTCTTATTGTACCTACATACATTTTGTAATTGGATTTTCTGCCGTTGTGACTGTTAAAATCAATAAATATACATTTTACTGCAAAGTTAATGGAGATAACAACTATAATAACAATTTGATGTACGTGACTTGATCTTGCAAAATAACATAACCTCAAATTGTTTTCATTTCTTACCCAAAACTTTTTACACGTATTGTAGTTATCAAAATACTCTTCACATTTGGATTGGTCATACCCGTTCTTGTTTAGGCATTGATAGGACATTTCTTGCTCCTAAAAAAATAGTAAAGTTATATAACACAGTTAATATTTTTTGAAACAAATAAATCTAGACAAAATATTATATATAAAACCTTAAGACAAGGATTTAACCGTTCGGCTTCTGTATTCTTTAGTTTCGTCATCTTGGTGGAATAGGGTCAATATTCCTTGGTTTTCTTTAGTTTTTTACGATTATTTAATGTTTTTTCTGTAATATTTATTTAATAATTGTTTACATGTCGATTGACGCGTTAATCAGTCAATTATTTGACAGTTGACTTTTGTTTGACATTTGTTAAAATATCTTTTCATTGTATTTGCCGAGTGTAGTAATTTAACAAACTGCCTATATTTAGCAATCACATTCATTTAATAGAATCTTATTTCAGTTGTTTTACGCATTATATTTCCTTCCTTTTCTGTTTATTAGTACAGGATATGGTGCAGGACAACTGGACAATTCATTTGACTTCATTTTCGACCTCAATTTTGTACCAGCAGTTTAGCGGTTTAGCTTCAATCAATGTTCCCTTAGACTTACTATACTCTTTGAATCAATGCTTCAAATTAATGAAAAATTTGCTTGGCGTTTTAAAGATCCAAATATTGTACTCAATTTCAACTTACATAGACAATTCGCTCAAATTATCCACCAATAAATGTGGGAGAGCCATGCTTCGGCTCGACCGGGCGGAGTGATACCACGGCCTCACAGAAGACGTGAAGCAACGTTTGCGTTGTGTTTCGTCGTGTGAGTGAGGTTACCGGAGGCGCAATTACCCTCCCCTTCCCCAATCTCCCCAATCCCTGAATCCCCAACGATCCTCAAACTCCCAATCCCCAAAAGGCCAGTAACGCACTTTTAACTCCTCTGGTGTTCCAGGTGTCCATGGGCGACGCCGATTGCTTATCATCAGGCCATCTGTCTGCTTGTTTACCGGCTTATGCCATAAAAAAATAAAATAAATAAAATGAAGGTATTCATTGTATAAAAAGAGGTATATTAAAAATCCATGTCACAGGTAATTTATAAATGCAAGATATTTATAGTTTTAAAAAATAGCATAGAATCTTTTTAGGCACAATAGTTTTAATTAAAGCCAAGATAGTTGAAAACAAAACCTGAAAATTACTTCTATTTTGTTTTTTTTTGTTATCATCATCTGCAGGTTTTTGTTGCTGCGTGTAAAGTATTTAAACCGACAGATTTTTGTCGTCGATAGTGTTTCGGTTACACTTTTTATATTTTCTAACCAATCAAAATGCGCTGTAGATTAAAAAATATTTTATAGCTCTTCTGCCATTGGTGCAAAACTTGACATGTATTACTAATGCATGAAATATGTATAATTTGTGAACATACTTGCTGAAATTACGACGCGAGTGGAATGGACACCGTCATATCAATAATTTAATAAAACTTTTGATATTTTACAATGTTATGTTTAAAATTAAGTGCCTAAATGTTTTGAGAATAGTTTTATAGTGTTAGTGCTTTATATTAAATGCTTTAGAGATGTCGAAGAACAAAATAGCGGCTCGTGTTGACAGTCAAACTGTGGAAGTCAAAACTAAAGTAAGTGGGAAGGAATTTCTAATTTCTTGACCATACTTGAAAAGTCACGCAAACTTTCTCAACTATTACGAAATCTTAGGATAGTCTAGACTATTTTGAGTTAAAATTTGGCTATATTAGTAGTATGAATTTTCTATAAAATGGTTATTCATCACCATGTTCAAATGCTTGTTAAAAAAAAAATACTTGTCCGAGAATTTGCTATCTAAAAGGAAGCGAGCTCAGAAATTATTAGAATTCCATTGAAATAAGTTTCCTTCGTATTATTCCATACTTAAAACAGAGTATACCCAATTACAATAGGTCTTATAAACGGAAAATACAACATTTAAAAAATGTAATAGGTTCACAAAAAAAACATGTTTTGTGCTCATTGTAATGTCTTGGGAACTAGGTCTCTTGGAGATAAAAGATGAAAAGATATAATAATTTAGTTTATTATCCGTTAATTATTAAATAACAGCTTTTTATTACTGAATAACGAAATTACTAACGTCTCATTAGATTTAAGTTTGTGTGGTATTGTTTTTATTGCACTTATTTTCCTCCTACATTGTTTGTCCTAGTAAGCTTACGATTATTTCAGTTCATTAAGGAGTTAGTGAATAATGTTCAACGTCAAAGGTTTTATCTCAACTAATCTGTTTACAGACACTAAATGGAGTTGTCCGTCAGTCAGTTCATCAGTGTATCTAAGTGCTTGTTCCATAATGTAGATTTATTTATTTATTTAAACTTTAATGTACACAGAAACAAGTAATGGCACATAATGATTTAGTTACATGAATAAGAATTAAACTTTAAGGAATGTTTTATAATCAAAATAGGTTTTATGAGAGCAATGAGTAAATTAATGGATTAACTCATACTCCCCTCCCTATTAACAATTTGTTAGCAATATGTCTGCAATTTGTAACGAACGCTTGACCCCACAGTTTCTATTACTATGCAAATTTTGCAAGTAAAACTAAACCTTATTATATTGGTATTTTGTTAGATCAGCTGACATTATACTTGCTTGTTTTTTTATGTAGGTACATCATTTTTGATAAGATCTGATGTTAATATTGATATGATAAAAAATCTGACATGCACATTTTCTATTTAGCATTGATCTTTCTCCAGTTTGTTATGAGTCACGTATGTGAAAAGGGCTTTGCCATGCACTGAGGTTTATCCGGTTCAATGCCAGTATATAAAACACGATGTTGTGGTGGCCCGTACGTTGAAACACCCACTTCTCATGCATGAGAGTGCTGGTTCGAAACCTACCAATGGCAAGTACGAATGTGACTTTTTCTGAGTTATATGTACTTTCTAAGATTATTTAGACACCACTGACAACAGGTGAAGGAAAACATTGTGAGGAAACCTAGACTTACTTAAAATTTCTAATTATAAGTTTGGAATCACTAACAGAGCAAGAGTGGTGATTAATGCTCAAATCTTCTCTGTGTGAGAAGAGGCTTTTCTCACCAGTGGGCACTTATAGGCTGTTACTGATGATGATATAAGACACAATGGAAAATACATTGGGTCTCATATGGACCCGCATTTCTGCACACAATGGGTTAAGGTAGTTAAGAATGCTTCTATAACAGGACTAGTACCCAATAATAAAAAAAAACAGTGAGTATACTGTTCCTTATTCTTTCTTTTCTTAACCATATTTAAAATGAGCAGCTTCATTCATTGCCTGACTGACAATTCTATTTTGATTCTAAAGTCCTTGTTATAAGCATCAATTGATATAAAATGTTTTGACCTTGATACTTTGACCAAGGAATTGTACCCAAAAGCCGATGTTTGGCCGTCATTCTTGATCACTCACCAATAAGACCAATTTATCATAGATTTAACATTTATATCGTGGAATCGCTTGGTTGTTTTTCTCCATAATATATATTCTCCATAATAATAATATAAAAAAAATAAATATGAATCTACATTTTGAAACGAGCTTCACTCCGCTTTACAGATGGACAATTGGGTATTTGCACAATAGTCAAATTCAATACTTTTTTCAAACTGTCTAAAGCTACAGTTTTCTATGAATTTTGTACGAGATTGTGTATTGTTGTGACATCACGTTTTTTAACGTCATAAAGCATACTTATTTCTTAAAAAATTGCTGGAAAACTTTGAAAATTAAGTTGGTCACAAAATCAAGTAATCAATGAAAGAAAGTGTGATTATGTTTTAATATTTTACTGTCTTGAAAGTACTCAATTTTATGTTGTTGTGCCTGTATATGGATTAACCTAAATATCTGGTTTGATTTGACATGTTTTTAATTATTTAATTTCTTTTTTTCAGTTTGATGCAGAATTCAGAAGATTCTCGCTCAATCGTACTGAGAAGCTCAAGTATGAAGACTTCAAGGCTTTGATAGAGAAGCTGCACAGGCTCCATGATGTGGCCTTTCTCATATCTTACACGGATCCTAGGGATGGAGACCTGTTGCCCATCAACAATGATGATAACCTGGCTAGAGCGCTGCTTACCGCCCGACCGCTGCTCAGGGTCATTATACAGAGGAAAGGTTAGTTTTATTGGCATTTCAAACTTATAGTTCACTAGCGACCAGTCCCGGCTTCCCACGGGTGCAATATGCATGTTTTATACATATAAACCTTCCTTAAGAATCACTCTATCTATTAAAACAAACCGTATCAAAATCCGTTGCGTAGTTTTAAAGATCTAAGCATACATAAGGACACACAGACGGCGGATAGCGACTTTGTTTTATACTATGTAGTGATCATTGTCAATAGATCTAGATTAAATTTTGTTCAGCTGCTAGTTTTAACTGGCCAACATGTCCACTGACTTCAAGCTTGGCAGGGATATTGGTATGATGCATTTAAACTGTCAAACACCAAGCGGTCACCGGTGACCGCGACCTATTGTTCTTTAATTGTGTCTATAAAACCGGTACTCGACGAGTTAAACCTGTGTACCTTTTCTCGATACATTTCGTGGTGTGTTTGAACCCTCATTACATAACAAAGCCACAGATTTTAACTATGATGTAGCGTTTGTGAAGTTAGATAAAAATAAGTTCTACATGAGATTTCAAAACTTTTTTGTGGTCCCAACAACTTTAGCAACATGTACCCGGCTGCCGTGCAACGTGTCGCGGGTACGGTTCCCGCACGGAACAACACTTTGTGTGATCCACAAATTGTTGTTTCGGGTCTGGGTGTCATGTGTATGTGAACTTGTATGTTTGTAAACGCACCCACGACACAGGCGATAACCCTAGTGTGGGGCAACGTTTAAAAAAAAATAGAAAAAAATGTTTTGTTGGTAATATTATTTAAAATTTAAATTTTATTGACAATAATATATAAATAGAAGCTCGAAAATAAACCGGAGAGTCCCTAAATACCTAACTATTAAACATAACAGGTTAAAAATCCATTACACTCATACCCACACCAATGACTCACACAATCAAAACTAACAGAATAAAACCTCGGCACACCATGACCTCCATAGACAACACCCATTGTACTGATAAAGATACTTAATTAGCATAGAATGCGACACTATAATCAAACACGTAGCGTCTATAACAAGGTGCTAAGGTTCATAATTGATTAGCTATGTTGTTACATCTTTTAGGGTCTGGTACTGATAGCATTGTGTACTTATTTACTTTTGTTAAGTGTACATGCCTAAATTAGGTTGTATGGTTATGCTTTAGCCAAATTTGATGTGAAATTTGTGTTACGCTGTCTCATATAATTAAAATATTTGTAGTCTGTAGAGTTTCTTCTTTTATTCTAGAACATTCTTAGTTTAAAAATGTTAAATGCTAGGTACTGCATCTTTAGTGGAATCGTTGCAATTCAAGGGGGACTTAACAGGTTACTGGGGCTCCGGTTCAAACCAGGAGTAGAACTGAACAGGGTGGTGTTTAGTCAGTAAGAGTCTGACACTCTCTCCCACCTCATCCAAGGCGGGAGAGAGTGGGTCATTGGATGATAAAGCCCTTCAAAAAAAAACCGAAATAATTGAAGGAATTTTGATGTTTGTCTCTGGCAATAAATGGCTTATAAAAGTACAGTCTTTGCTTACCTATTTAGGAGATAAAAGGGATAATGTTTTGTTAGGTTTATTTGTAAAAAAACAATAGATGTAGATTAATTTACTACTTCTTGATTGCAATACCTATAATAACTCAAAAACAATATTTCAATGCAATATTGCATGACACAAAATTATGATAATTTATCGAAATGCGTGTCTAACCGCTAATTAATTTTTGTAAAGGTAAATTGAAATATAAAAAACCAAGTACACACTGACCGCATTCCTAAAGAAATAAACGAATAACTGCAATTATGAGGTCAGTTTTTCTTTATTGCATGCCAATTTTTTTTATATAAATTCACATTACTGTGTATTGACGGTAGAGTATACATTTTAACCATCCATACTGTTCCCGCGGGTGTCATTTGAGACGGCAAAGGGGCTACAGATGGGGCCCAGTAGGGCTGATGCCTGATATGGAGCCGCGGAAAGCCTAACGGGTTGCCGGGGCTCCGGCTCGAAGAACAGGTGTAGGAACGAGGTGGTTTTTAGTCAGTAAGCGTCTAAGACTCCACACACATATTCCATTTCGCGAAGTAACCGGGAGAAGTCAATAGATGATAATATTCTCCCTTCATAAAAAAAAGGGGAGGCTACAGATTTGCCAAAGAACGGGCAGCAGCGCTCTCGGATAAATTCGAACTGCGATCTGCAATCTTCTCGCGAAGCGTAAAGATTAGGGTAAATTCTCGTGTGCTGAGGAGGTCTGGGCTTCCACAGCCAGTGCTGGACTATGGTTCAGCATTGACTGCTGATGTGGCAAATGGCAAAGAGTTTCTTGTAAATGGACATTTACAAGAAACTCTTTGCCATTTAAAAATTAGATTACCTAGTCCCATGAGTCCCATTTATTAGTTTTATTGTCAGATTATAAATAAACCACTTTCTTTAGCGGGCTATCCGTATTTCACGTGACTTATAGAATGGGGATGATGACAGGGTATGAAAATTAAAAATATAATTAGTCCGTAAGTTAGGTAATGAAAAAATATTAGACACTCTAGCACACACACACTAGCCCCCACTCCTAAACTTTGATTCGTTTTATCTAAGTATTGTTTTATTATACGACAAAATAAAAAAATACGTGTCTAATGTTTTTAAATAATCTACCAGACGGACATTAAAATAAAAATTAGTCGTCTACCCCATTACTAGTTAAACGTATCTACTTATATTATGTATTTTGTCTTAGAAAATTAGCGTAGATTAAAGGGCGCGGGCGTGATGTATAAAACCAGCTTAATATCTTATTGACAACCTTTGACTAACCTTTTAAACTGGATTAGGTAAATAATGCTTAGGCTCAATGATCAGACGTCGCGTCGCAATACTTCCGTGTGTAAGCCCCTGTGTGGCTTCCTAGGAAACCTAATGGGGCATACACGGTGAATGACTATCATTGCCATTATTATATGTACTTTTATATTTATGTAAACAAAACCTTCTTCTAATCGTCCTATACATAGCCGCGGAGGACTCAACGGGTTGCCGGCGCTCCGGTTTAAAGGGCAAGAGTAGGAACGTGGTGGTTTTTAGTCAGTAAGAGTTTGACACTCCCTTCCGCCTCACCCAGGCGGAAGCAGTCATTCGATGATATTACCCCTTAAAAAAACCTACTATACATGCAGATGTTTGTATGTTTATTTGTTACTCTTTCATTTCAAAACGGGTGAAGCGATCGGGATGAAATTTGGAACAAGCGTAGTTTATGGTCTGATATAACACATAGGCTACTTTCTATCGCACCGCCGCGCCGCAGTCTAAGCTGTTGGCAGAAACTAGAAGTCATGAATTAACTTAAAGTAAAATTGAACAAAACGGTTTCATTGTACCACAAGCCTTTTTTTATGGCATAAGCCGCTAAACGAGCATACGGATCACCTGATGGTAAGCAATCGGCGTCGCCCATGGACGCCTGGAGCACCAGACGCGTTACAAGTGCGTTACCCGCCTTTTGGGGATTAGGAGTTTGAGGATCGTTGGGGATTCAGGAATTGGGGAGATTGGGGAAGGGGAGGGTAATTGGGCCTCCGGTAATCTCACTCACACGACGAAACACAAACGCAAGCGTTGCTTCACGTCAGTTTTCTGTGAGGCCGTGGTATCACTCCGATCGAGCCGGCCCATTCGTGCCGAAGCATGGCTCTCCCACACTTAAAATGAAACTAAGGCTGAGACGAAACTCATGATGATGAGTGATGGAGTTGTCGGTGTATTGTTTTGAACTCAGAAAAGCTTGCAGACGATAATCATCTGATCTATATATTTAAGGACCAACAGATATGTATCATCAACAGCCTATAAGTGGCCACTGCTGACTAAAAGCCTCTTTTCACAGCGAGGTTTGAGCATTAATCACCACGCTTGTTCAATGCGTATTGGCGATTTCAAACTTATAATTAGAAATTATAAGCCCAGGTTTTCTCACGATGATTTCCTTCATCGTTTGTCAGTGGTGTCTTAATAATCTTAGAAAGTACATATAGCTCGGAAAAGTCACATTGGTACTTGTCGTTGGTAGGTTTCGAACACGCACCCTCATGCGTGAGAAGCGAGCGTCTTAAACCTCCAGGCCACCACGACATGCCTAACAAGGCTGATGCCCGATACGGAGCCGCGGAAGACTTAACGGGTTGCCGGGGCTCCGGTTCGAAGTGCAGGTGTAGGAACGGGGTGGTTTTTAGTCAGTAAGAGTCTGACACTCCCTCCCGCCTCACCCAGGCGGGAGAAGTCATTGGATGATTTTCCCCCCTCAAAAAAAAAAAAGGCCACCACGACATACAGATATGTTAGTTAAACAAATATACTTTTAACTCGTTGAGTACCGTCATTATAGACACAAAGAACAATAGGTTGTGGTCACCGGTGTCCTCGCGCTGTTTGACAGTTTAAATCGTAAATCTTGTAACACTAAACACAGTGCATACCTCTAGATATTAAATGTGTATGTCTAATGTTTGAAAGATGAGCACGGTCACCGTCGCGTGACGCCCCACTGGTTCACGCTAATTGTAAACCGCACCTCGTTACTTTTCACACTTGGTGTACAATTAGTTTTATTCTATTTATAACTTTCATACGCTATTTTGATTATATTTATAGCGTACTCTGAAGAAAATGATATGTTGCTATTATTAAAACATCATCACGCCTTGTCATCCCCGAAGGGGCAGGCACATTACGGCACTTAATGCCAGTACAATGTAACACCCACTTTTCAATATTTATGTTATGAGTCCCATGTTATAGGGGGTGAGCCTATTGCCATACCGGGCACAATTCCAGACTCCAGGCTACTACTGAGAGTTTGACAGACAGTGACACAGTGTTGCTATTTTTGTGGTTAGGAAACCTATTATACGATTCTTGCAATCGACGTTTAAAAATACCTAAGTTAGATTTGCCAATGTTGGCTCGTAATTGACTCCTAACCAGATGTACGTAAATATTTTAATCTGTATATGGAAATCTGTGTTATATTTTATGTTAACTAAAAATCGCGGGTGACTCACGTGAATATACTGAGAAAAGCTCTACTAGTTTCGAACCACAGAGGGGTTCTTCCTCATGAGCAGCGTGCGCGGTCGCGGCGATGTCGCGCAGGCTACTACTAGTACTACTACTGTGACTTACGAGTAAACCGCAATTTTTAGTTAATTTAGTATGTCTCACGATAGTTCCTATATTTTATGGTTTGAATTAAATGAGATTGAATTAAATTATGTTTCTTAGTAAGTTCACCCCATATTACATGGGACTTGGATACTTGTAACTGGTTAAAAAAATGGCGTATTTTGAACGTGTTTTTCTGCTTAGTCATGCTTTTTACCGTCACTTTTCACTATTTATGTTATTTCTTCTTTTGTTTTTCTGTGATAAAAGGCATATAGTTATTTTATTCATTGACCCAGAGACAATAGCGAGAATAAAACATATTCATTTACAAATAACAATGAAAATATGAATCATAATAATTTTACGACTACATTAGGTTTAGGTACACAGATTTTAGCAAACTGACTCATTCCGCTTCAATTATAATGAAATATTTGATTCTGTTCCGTCCACAAACCTGTTTGCTTCCGGCTGCTACAAAGCATCACATCCCATTGTCACATAGCACAATAATTGTACAAGCCAGCACCTCAACCTACCTCATATTGTCCAAATTCTTCATAACATTTTCAACCTTATGTCTTTTATGCAAAGTCGGAAACATTTTGATTTAGCTTCATGTGCTACCGCCTGTACATATACGCCCCATGACCATGACACCGTATCACGGAAGGAAGAACTGGTTTAAGTCACAAAAGATAGCGGATTAGATTTTAGGGGATTTTTTTATACAATTGTAAAGAGATTCTTAACAGATTTGGAGTTTTCCCATAAATGTCGTACCTTTGACTATTTTGGGATTTTTTTTTGTTGTCTGGTATTTGACAGCTCTTTCGTCTGATCTTTGTCGCCATAATAGATTCTGCTCCCAACTTCTAAGCATAAACTGTCAATCAGCTAATGCAATCGTACTTTGTAATGTATGCAATATGCAACTGGCAACTTATGAGAATTTGAATATGCACTTGGGAGCAAACAAACGGAACCACAAACAGTTTTCTTTTTTCATTTTATTGAACCGAAGTTATAGATACTTAAAAATGAATATTTATATATAATTTGACTGCACGGTTGGTGCGGTGGCTGGGCAACCGGCTGCCGTGCAACGTGTCGCGGGTTCGATTCCCGCACGGAACAACACTTTGTGTGATCCACAAATTGTTGTTTCGGGTCTGGGTGTCATTGTTTATGTGAACTTATATGTTTGTAAACGCACCCACGACACAGGAGAAATTCCTAATGTGGGGCAATGTTTAAAAAAAATATAAAAAAAAAATATATTTATTTTACAATAAAATGCTCTTATTTATATCGATTTAAAAAAGGAGGAGGTACTATGTTCGGCTGATTGTTTTTTTTTAGATCGCGCTTTACTCCACCATTTGTGAACCGATTTCCAAAATTCTTGTTAAAGTAACTTAATTGCTTTTTATACAACAAAACAGCTAAACATTATAATTTTGCCAACAGTTGTTGTCGCATAAACCGCTGTTCCCTTTAACTTGTGGCACAAGTATTCACGCGCGCACTGATGCATTGCAGTACGGATTTGTGGCAATGATCCCATTAGAATGAATGCAGCTTACATTGTAAGGGCATCCACTATCGATTGTGTCGATACTTTTATGTTTTTCTTTTCATATAAGTACCAAGATACAGCAACAAGCGTCCCTGTTTTCCGACGACTAATAATCACCATTATCGATCGACATATCTACTACAAGACGTTTACTGCTAAACATAGGTTTCTCCCAATCCATATCAGCCGATTTGAAGCAATCTGCATGTTTTGTAGTTACATCAATTCATCAACAGCCTATAAATGTCCACTACTGAGCAAAGCCTCTTCTCACAAGGAGAAGGTTTGAGCATTAATCGCCACGCTTGCTCAATGCGGGTTGGCAGTTACAAACTTATAATTAGAAATTATAAGGCCAGGTTTCCTCACGATGTTTTCCTTCACCGTTTGTCAGTGGTGTCTAGATAATCTTAGGAAGAACATTTAATTCGGAAAAAGTCACATTGGTACTTGCCGTCGGTAGGTTTCGAACCCGCATCCTCATACATGAGAAGAGGGCGTCTTAAACCTCCGGGCCACCACGATGTTTTGTAGTAAAGTCGACAAAACTTATTGATGGGATAGGTTTCCATAAGTTGTTTTTTTTTATTTCGTATCTTCCTTCAGCCATTCGAGCCATAATCAGATTGTTTGGTGAAATTAATGGAAGTATTTTATTGAATACATCTCATACTTCGGTAACTATATCAGTGACAACTTGGGGTTCTTCAGGAATAACTCCCCGTGAATAAGTGTTTTAAGGGTCGGCAAGGCTTCGTCGTGGTGTAAAACATAACATAGCATCACGCCTTTTATCCCCGAAGGGGTAGGCAGAGGTGCACACAGAAGTAACACCCACTTTTCACTATTTATGTTATGAGTCCCATGTAATAGGGGGTGAGCCTATTGCCATATACCGGACACAATTCCAGACTCCGTGCTACTAATGAGATTTTTTAAAAACCCAGTAGTACTTTGCCCGACCCGGGAATCGAACCCGAGACCCTTTGCCCAGCAGTCGCACTTACAACCACTGGGCCAACGAGGCAGTGGTGTAAAAAAAAGTTAGGATCTCATAGTTGCAATATTTACAAAAATTGTAGCGGACTCTTAATTAGAAAAACTGTTAGAAACTTAAGGTAAAGCAAAGTTTTCAGCATTTATTATATTTGTATAGTCATCAGATATGATATGCTCATACTGTTCACCTAATCCTAAATGAGTAGCGATAGTTATTCACTGAGTAATACTGGTTGTAGTAAGTACCATTGAATCATTGAAATGTACTGTTGTCATTGTCTGTGGCCCTAGTACTTCGTATTAGGAAACTTGCGCTCATACCGACAGACATAGTTCTTATCGTGGGATTTATATGACATTATAATAAATAAAGTTTTTTTTTCATATTTTTTTTTTTTTGTAAACTACCAGACCCGATTAATCGGCAATCGAAGCAATCGGCGTCGCCCATGGACACCTGGAAATCCAGAGCCGTTACGATTGCATTACCGCCATTTGAGGATTTTTTTAACAACCCCAGTAATACTTTGCCCGACCCGGGAATCGAACCCGAGACCCCTTGCCCGGCAATCGCACTTGCGACCCCTCGGCCAACGAAGCAGGCAGGCATAACAAAATAACTTAATATATTTTTCTTAATTCCCAGGGGACAGTTTGGAAGAACTGAACGGGTATGGGACGATGCGACCAAGGAACATCATCTCCTCGATACTGAGCGGCACGCCGGCTAAGAACAAGGGCCTCGCTATATCTAACCCACACGATTTTAGAATGGTGAGTGACAGATTTTTTTTTCAAAATCGGACCAGTCGTTTGAGAGAAGTTCAGTGACATACACACTCATAGAAGAATTATATATATAAAGATATGCCGACGTTTGACCACAATCTCGCCTGGTGGTAAGCGATGATGCGGCCTACGATGGAGCACGTCGTCCCATAAGCAATGAAGGGATCGTCGATGTGTAATGTGATATACTGGACATACCCTGATCCCATTATTTATAAAGAAAAGCCCTGTGGTCTTGCTTGGCAGCAATAATAGAATATTGTTTAATTCTAGGTATCAGCAATTATCGACGTAGACATAGTACCCGAGACGTGCAGGCGAGTCAAACTCCTCAAGCATGGATCAGATCGACCGCTAGGATTCTTTATCAGGTATGCACTTTAAGCTATTGGCATAAAGCTCTTTATTCTATAGATAATTTTGCTTTCATTTAGTTTGTGCACCTCAGAGACATGCGTATGCGTACATAATAATTCTATTCTGTCATTCGAAATCAGCAAGCGTGGTAATCAATGCTCATACCTTCTCTGCGTGAGAAGAGGCCTTTGGTCAGCAGTAGCCACTTATAGGGTGTTGATGTGATTGAAAATCTAAGAGATATGTTTATTAATATGTGTTTGTTATATTAATAGGATATGTTTATTAGTATGTGTTAAAGGGATATGTGTTAAAACACAACTGCGTTAAATATTACGATGTTATTTAGACTGGCTTGTTGGCCGAGTGGTGGTAAGTGTGACTGCCGGGCAAGGGGTCTTGGGTTCGATTCCCGGGTCGGGCAAAGTCTTACTGGGTTTTTAAATATTCTCAGTAGTAGCACGGAGTCTGGAATTGTGCCAGATATATGGCAATAGGCTCACTATCCTATTACATGGGACTCATAACATAGATAGTGAAAAGTGGGTGTTACATTGTACAGTGGTATAATTTGCACCTCTGCCTACTCCTTCAGGGAAAAAGACGTGATGTTATGTTATGTTATTTAAACATTATTCTAAATCGTTTTTCCAGGGACGGCACATCAGTCCGGGTGACTCCAAACGGCGTGGAGCGGTCCCCGGGTATCTTCATATCGCGCCTGGTGCCTGGCGGACTTGCGGAGTCCACCGGACTATTGGGGGTCAACGATGAGGTGCTGGAGGTCAACGGCATCGACGTGTCGAATAAGACGCTAGATCAAGTAAGTAAACTTAGTTGTTGAATGCTGCAATGCAAATGCATAATGCGCTTCGCATCAAGCTTCCTTCTGTGTACTGCTAAGGAGTGGAATTCGTTGCCAGAATCTGTATAACCTGGAGGGTATAAAATGAATAACCTGGGTGTCTTCAAGGCCCGAGTGAATAGGTTGCTTATGGGACGACGTGCTCCATCGTAGACCACATCATCGCTTACCGCCAGGCGAGATAGTGGTCAAACGTTGGACCAACAAATATAAAGAAATGAGGTAGCTGTTAGAGGGTTAGCTCACATGACTGTAGATTCTTTGGGTTCTGTGGGATCTCATGTCGAATTTCTAGGTAGGCTAAAAGTATTTGATTTTCAATTGTAGGAAAGGCTGGCCAGAGTCGCCGATAAAACGCGTTAGCAACTTTAATTTAGATCGCCAAGTCATAAGTTATATGCCGCCCAGAGTCTATAGTGTTCAAGTCAGTACCTACCAAAACTTGAGCTCTACAAACAACTTCGGAGTACTCTTAACAAGAGCACTTACTTACCATATCGATACCTTTGGGTAGAAAAGTCGTATAAACCAAAACCCGACTTTTCAGGAGAGCAAAAAAACGATTTTTTTTTGACAAAAAAATTCATATCTTTTTTGTTTTTAAAGTTATAAAAAAATAATCTATGAGAAAAGTTCTTACAATTTGCAAATGAAACCGTTTAAATCATCAAAACCTATCTATCTTCTTTAGTTTTAAAGTTAGCTTGGATTTACGTCTCTGTAAAAACCAATTCATGGTTAATACACCCCATGAAAATGTAATTTAAAAAAACTGTATAGGTCGTATATCCATTTACGATAAGCTTGTGGTCACATTTATTGTCGTAAAAACCAACATATGTAGTTTTATTTGTATTAAAAACCATTTATATTCATTGTTCAATTAAATTCTGACTAATAAACAATCTTGTTACTCTCAGAGTTAGTAGGAACTCAATTAATAAATAAAAATACTCAATAATCCGGTAGTTTCCAACTAGTCAAATTCAATACTTTTATCGAAATGTCAAAAACGATACTTTTCTATGAATTTTGTATGGAGATCGTATATATGACGTCATAATATTTTTGCGTCAAATAGTATACTTATTTCAAAAAATTAGCTAGATAAATTCGAAAATTAAGTATATCGTCAAATCTATGACTGAAAGTATGATTTTATACACCAACGTTGCGAACTGCGTTTGGATTTACGACGTATAATTTAAATTATGTTTAGGTAATGCATTTAACACGTTAGGGTGTATAAACCATTTACAATTGACGAATATTTTACGCCCTGAGTTAATATAAATTATGGTCATTACATCACAATAAAACTACAAAAGAAAAACATTTGGCTCTTACATTGAAAATTTCCTTTTTTTAAGAGGCCATGACCGAAAATTTCTGGGTCGTATTAACCATTTTTGTGCGAATTTCGGCATGTCGTATATACAGATCGATAGAGAAAAAAATTCTGAGAAAAATGGTATATATAACTCAATTTGGCCAAAATGGTTTATACGACCTTTCTACCCAAAGGTATCGATATGGTCAGTTTGGGCTTGCATTAACTTCTTTTATGTCGGTATTTAAGACATAATAGAAAACGAATTGTGTCTCGCGTAGATACTGCTTCGACATACCAGAGGTTAAAAGCGTTAATAAAGCATTTTCAAAATTTTGTAACGAACAGAATCTCTCTTGCAGGTGACGGACATGATGGTAGCGAACTCCTCGAACCTGATCATAACGGTCCGGCCTGCCAACCAGCGCGCCGGCCCGCCGCCGCCCGCTGAGACAATCTCACGACACTCACAACCTTCCAGCGAACCTGATGAGGACAGGTAACGAATATTTTTTATTACAACATTTGTCAGATGTATTAAATTAATTATTATGTTCAACGGCTTACTCTTGTAGGTGTTTGACGAGGAAGTGGACTAGTTTCTATACGCTAGGGACTTATATTCATGAGTCGCGCAGAACCTAACGGGTTACCGGGGCTCCGGCTAGGAGAAGGAACGGGGTGGTTTTTAACACGTTAAACGCATAAACGTTGCCCCACTCTAAGATTTTCTTCTGTGTCGTGGGTGCGTTTACAAACATACAAGTTCACATACACATGACACCCAGACCCGAAACAACAATCTGTGGATCACACAAAGAGTTGCTCCGTGCGGGAATTGAACCACGAACGCGACACGTTTCGCGGCAGCCGTTTGTCCAGTCACCGCGTACCACACCAACCGTGCCGTCTAATTCAAAACCGTGGAGAATCTAACGGGTTACCGGAGCTCCGGCTCGACGTGCAGGAGAAGGAACGGGGTGGTTTTTAGTCAGTAAGAGTCTGACACTCCCTCCCGCCTCACCCAGGCGGGAGCAGGCATTCGATGATTTGCCCCCCTTAAAAAAAAGAGACTTATCACACAAGGCGGTGAACGTCGCGTAGCCGACTGAAACAAGTCGAGTTCCTAGTAGACAGTTACGGTAATAAACCGTTTAACTTTTTATAGCATAAGCCGGTAAACGAGCAGACGGATCACCTGATGGTAAGCAATTGGCGTCGCTCATGGATACCCGGAACACCACGGCGTTACAAGTGCGTTACCGGCCTTTTGGGAATTAAGAATTTGAGGATTGTAGAGGATTCGGGAGACCGGGGAGAGGGGTAATTGGGCTTCCAGTAACCTCACTCACACGATGAAACACGACGCAAGCGTTGTTTCAAGTAGGTTTTCTGTGAGACCGTGGTATGAGTCCGGTTGAGCCGGCCCATTCGTGCCGAAGCATGGCTCTCCCACACTTAACAATTAATGATTTATTTAAGTAAAATATAAGAGTAACTTAAGAATATGTCCATAATTAAACATTTCCGAATGATTCTTCACATAAATTTGTTTCAGTAACGTAGTTACAAGCAATATACTACTCTACAATCATTATTATCATCCATAATTTTTCTTTAATCTTTGTTTTACTCTTAATTTTGAGTTCACCGTGAACAGACACCTATGGAGTTTTTCATATGTAAAAATAAGTGTATTTGTGACTCTAATTCCCACCTTTCTTACCCCAGATTCGATCAAGACGAACAAGACGAGATAGTGGACCTAACAGCCGTCACACTAGAGGAGTCCGACCCCGCCCCGTTCGTCACGTCCAAAGACGACGGACAAGTGCTACACCTCTAGTACATACTAGAGCGGTACCGCCTCGCGAAGGAACGATACAGTTGATACAGTGTATATTATGGTGCGAAATTTTTATAGTGAGAGTGTGGTCAAGTGATGTAGTGAGATGGTGGCAAAAAGTGGCTAATCTTGTGAGTTGGTGGTAAAAAGTGGCTAATGATGGGAGTTTGTGGCAAGTATTTTTTGTATTGATGGTAGTGTTGGTTTTTTGTTGAGTCGGATTGTCGATTGATAGTGCAGTACCGCTGTTAAATTTTATCGATATATTAATACTTAAATTTTCAATGGTAGATTAAATGTTTTAAATAAAATACGTAATAGTTAAGTGACGTTGCTGAATAATAATAAAAATATAAGAAAAATTCGCTACAATTAGCATTAATAAATAGGAAAAAAATAAAACTACTTTAAAAACACTGCATATTAATCGATGAATACAAATAAACATTACATTCTCTCGCCACATCACAAAGACCACATATTTAAAAGCTCGAACTCTTAGTATATACTAAACATTCCATTATATGCCTTATATATACTGCAATAAGTGTCAAAATAGCTAAATTAGCGTCACAATAGTTTAGGATGCAATATTTAGGGACAAACTGACATACAAGTATATGGTTTATGCAAGAAATATGTTATTACTTAACTAGTAGTTATCCCGCGCTGTTACCGTGCTACTCGGCTTCTATTGACCGTAGCATGATGTTTGATATCCTATAGACTGCCTCGATAAATGCACTATTCAACACAAAAATAATTACTTAAATCGAACGAGTACTTCCAGAGATAAACGCGTTCAAACAAACAGACTCGAAGAGGGATGATGACGAGGTATGAAAATGAAAAACTAATTAGTCCGTCAGTTAGGTAATTAAAAAATATTAGACACGTATTTTCTTGTATACTAAAATAGTACCTAGATAAAACGAATAAAAGTTTAGGTGTGGGGGCTAAAACGTCATTTCTACGTATAAAATGTACATAGAAGTGACGTCACGCGACATTTCAATCGTCGAAAGTATTCGTTTCTGTAAGAAAATAAAAAATATGTGTCTAGAGTTTTAAATTAATCTACCAGACGGACATTAAAATATAAATTAGGCATCTACCCTATTATCTATACTAGTTAATGAGCATTATACATTCTTAAACATGGCACTAATGATGGCCAAATTTTAACGTCAACATCAAAAGCCTATAAGTAACCAATGCTGAACAAAGGCCTCTTCTCACACGGAGAAGATTTGACCATTAAACACCATGCTTGCTAAATGCCAGTTGGCCATTTCAAACTTATAATAAAAAATTATCCCAGGTTTCTTCACGATGTTTTTCTTCACCGTTTGTCAGTGGTGTCTAAATATTCTTAGATTTTGACGTAGTGGGTGCATGAGGATATATTAGAGGATATGTTAAAGAAGAGCCAAATTAAAAATACTCTTAACAGACGAGCATGCATGAAAAGATTGATGACTGTTGATGTAGCAATAGGGTAGTTGGAGCAAGCCAATCAGAGCGCTTAAGCCCTCAGATTTATCAGGATGCTGCTACCTGGTTTCTGTGTAGTCCTTAGTCCGTTCTTACGACAATTGCGGGAAAGCACATAACATCATGCCTTTATCCTCTAAGGATTAGGCACGCACATTAGGGCACTTAATGCCACTGTATAATGTGACACCCACTTTTCACTATTTATGCTATGAGTCCCATGTAATAGGGGGTGAGCCTATTGCCATGTACCGGACACATTTCCAGTGCTACTACTGAGATTTTTTTACAAAACCCAATACTTTACTTACTTTGCCCGACCCGGGAATCGAACCCGAGACCCTCGGCCAATGAAGCAGTCTATCGCGGGAAGAGTTAATAAATTATAAGTGAAAAGAAATAATTGCATATTTTTTGCATAAATATCAAAATACACAGTAACTATTAGCATACATAATTATTGTGCCTAACTAATTATATGTGCATAGTATTTTACGTACTTACTTATAATATTAATAAATCATTCCTTTTAGAAAAAAAATAATTGACATTATTAGAAAAATATAAAATTCCATATTGTTAGCTCAATTTTTCCATAACATATCAATTTTAAAAAATCAGGCCTCTATCATTCGTTCAATGTTTCGTTCACCTGTTCATTCTAAATCTTTCATTCAGTTCTTAATTTAGTTCACTCATCACACTCTTTTTGAGATTTTCTTTGAAATTTAGAAAAAAATATTATTGACAATCAATTGTTTGTACTCTAATAATGATTTTTAAAATTGTTACTTATTGACAATAATAAAATTAGTTATATTTACTTCATAAGTGTCAAATTCCATCCATTTTGTTTGATATGACATACATACTTTTTTAAAGTGTATCATGGCCTACAGATTAAAAATATCACGTTTTTATCCCTATTAATTATTTAAATGTTTACGGAATTTGTTAAAAAATGAATGTTGTGTTTTCAAAATGTAACTAACTGTAGTTTTTGACCCATAAATTTATGTATGTGTGTCATCCGTATATCTATAGAATGAAATGTCCTACTTAGATTATTCTCACTTCCTATGGAAGGTGCTATATAATGTCAAAATTCATGTTTTTTCATACTTAAAGACGTTTAGTGTTAAAATTTTATGAGAATTGTCAATTTTTTATGAATTATTTTTAGATTTGTAAGTGGAGCCGGACATAGCAATTTTTGTATCGCGCAGTTTCTTTAAGCAGCCGCTAGCGACAGTGGCGGTAGTGGACTGTATAGTTCAAGAAGTTTTGCAACAAAAAGTTTCCTAACAACTTATGCTGTAGAAATAAATTGGCGTTTGCTTATGAGATTTAAAAGTATTAGATAAAAATAAATAAAGCTATTGCAATAGGCTTAGGGATCAAGACCAATCGCTATACGAATAATAGTAATAATATCATGTACTTATTAATATTAATATCGCATTCCACATTTTTTAAACATTCCATTTTATGAACGACGTGCCTTGAATCTCTTTCTAGTTTACTATTAATAAAGCCTAATTTTTTGAAAACTTAGAAGCTGAGTCTAAAAGTAATTTCCCGTTCTTTTGAACGCGGGTCTGTTGGTCTATTCTCGAAAAGACCACTTATATGACTAGGGTCTTTTCACGAACAGACCACTAATATGACTACGGTATTTTCACGAACAGACCACTTATATGACTACGGTATTTTCACGAACAGACCACTTATATGACTACAGTCTTATCACGAACAGACCACTTATATGACTACGGTCTTATCACGAATAGATCATTTATAGTAATTGCTCCTTATCTAAATTGGCCTTATAAGAAACGAATAACATTCCAACTTCTAATTTTGTCTAATTTTGAATGAAATCTTAGTTGTATAGCTTTTTTGGCATATAGGTATAATTATAAAAATGACTTAAACGGTGCCTTGAGCGTAAAGTTTCAAAAAAGCACTGTAGCTGGAAATATGTTAATAATTAAAAAACTAAATCAATAAGTCAAAGCGTAAATTGACCATATGTCGGAGATAGGAAACCTTTATACACGAGAACTTTAACAACAAATTAAAGTTGTATACATATAGCAGCCATTTCAATTTTATTTCGGTCTACTATTAAAATAAAACTATGAATTAGCAAATGCTTCAGCGTTACACATAAAATGAGCTTATTAAAATTTACTTAGATACAATTTGTAATGTTCGGTATTATTTGAATAGTGTTTTATACGAGATGTATGTTATATGAAATTATGTCGAGCAAGTGTTGGTTCGTCCTGTGACGTTATGATCAAAAATTATATTAAGATATAAGATGCGATGACGAATGTAAATTATCAATCATTTATGTGAAACTTAACTGTATGTCATAAGTATACAGTCTATCTTAAATTTAGGTTCATATCCGATATTTAATGTATTATTTAGATTAGATTTTTATTATTAAGTTTTTTTTTTTCATAATTTGTATAGCAACCTCTTTAATGTTTATCCATGTTCTGTCACTTTCATTTACGTTTTTATTCTGTGGAAATTTAAAATGATTGTTTTTAATATGATTTTATTACGTAAACGTGTACTTAATCCTTTCACTTTGGGTATGTTGGGTAGAGATAAGGAACACACTCTTTGTCTAGAAAATGCCCACCAAAATCGATAAATTAAGAAGTCATGTATTCAAATATAGTACTTAACGTTATTAGAATAGGATAGTTAATACAAAAAGTAAAATTAATATGACATTTTTTCAATTTGTTAAATTCATATCATTCCATTTGCGACGCTAGCGCCACTCTGAAGAGTTTTTGAGTTACAATGCGCTATTTTTTTTAACCTATCATCATAAGAGTGTGTTCTTTACCTCCATTATGTATCTACTAAGCAAATTCTTAAAATACAATTCATAACAAATATTTTTAAAGTATTCCATCAATGTATTTTTGCATTCCATAAAAGTATTTTCAAAACGTATTCTTAAACAGTATTGTTTTATTATTTGACATTTAGTATTCTGTGATTCCTGTATCAAATTAAAAATGTACTTAATAGTCTATTATGCTAATACTCAAACGCTACTCAGGTTTAAGTCCCGCTAAAGTATAGTTCTGTCGCAACAAATTCTTTCTAAAATGACAGAGATGGCACGATATTTAAGTACAAGTTAAAATTGAGTAGCCTTTCAGTATTCGGTGGTATGAGTTTGAAATATCCAACCTTTTTAAATGAGATGAACGTTTTTCAATAATTTTGCTGATTGGCTCAAAACTGTCCAAAATGTTGTTATAGTCAAACGATTATACATAGTTGATATTTACACATGTAAGCTAGTATACTTGTGTTATTATAAAATATATTATATTTAATTTAAACTTTGGTTTTTTACTGTATCCTTGTCGCCGTTATTCCCCGAAGGTGTCGACCAAGTTTCGAATATCACATAGATCTACTTTCGCCTCTAAACATATTTTATTTGTTGTGTATCTGTGGTGTAGTCT